AAAATGGTTGCTATCAAGTTTCTGTTGTACCAAGATTTCACTGGATACATTTAAAAGAACCATTAACATTTTCATTTTAAACGTCAATATCTACGATACATGATAAAATGACTCTTTTGAGACTATTTACATATATATGTAATGAGGATAATTCCAGATTTTTTTAAAAAAATCCATCAAAGTGTCATGTTTTTCAAAACTGGTAGGAAGGCACGCAAGTAAAACCGGTTCGAAGACTGTTCACCGCCTTCCCGCTTGAGTGCCCCAGCTCCTGGCCTGTGGGGGTGGCTGGGGCCGGCCCCCCTTCCTGCCGACCGAGCCTCGCAGGCCCCGCGCAGTCGGGCCGACTGCTGCACCGCAGTCCTCAGCAGAGCTGATGCTTCACGGTTGTTACGTGAACGAGGGTTGGGTGCTAGAAAGTGGCCGTGCGGACCCTCTGATGTTGCTTTAGGGGCCGCCCTACCAATGGCCAAGCCTGGAGTGCCCGAGACCAGGATGGCTCTGGCGGTCAAGGGGTGTCCTGCCCTGCCGCATGTTGTCACACCAAAAATGAAAAAATGCCACGTAAGCTACTAGATACACACAGCACTCCTTGGCTGTAGTTGGCGGGTGTCCTGTGTGCTCACGAAGTGGCTGGGCTTAACTGCGGGCACACGTTCGCGTCAGTCCTGGATATTTCCCCTCTACGTGTTCCTTCCTCACTGCCTGAAAAAGGCTAACTAGTTGTAAAAACAATCGAGATGAATACGTTCAAGTATGGCTTTTCTTTTTTTTTTTAAGATTTTATTTATTTATTTGACAGAGACAAAGCGAGAGAAGGAACACAAGCAGGGTGAGTGGGAGAGGGAGAAGCAGGCTTCCCGCAGAGCAGGGAGCCCGACGCGGGGCTCGATCCCAGGACCCTGGAATCATGACCTGAGCCGAAGGCAGACGCCTAACGACTGAGCCACCCAGGCGCCCCTCGAGTATGGCTTTTCAAAACTGGGTCGGAGACCCCTGGGGTTATGTCCTGGCGCCCTGAGGCATGGGGAAAAGTGACTAAGTGGAATTGGTGAGGAAGATCTTAAAAACTAAGGGAGGGAGGAAGGAGAAAATCAGAGGAAAATAATCAATAGTAATTAAGAGAGAAGAAAATGAACCATGAGGAAGAAATAAAGGAAGATCATAACATTTACATTAAAGTGTCTTGTAATAAGGGGAAAAAATGGCTGCCTTATTTCAAATTTGGGGTTAAACTTAAGAGGCAAAAGGCAGAAATCCTCATATATTCTTATATATTTCTCTAAAAACTCCCTAGTACCTCTAGAAGATACTAAACAACTCATTATTTTATCATTTTTTTAAGATTTAATTTAAGTAAGCTCTACGCCCAATGTAGGGCTTGAACTCACAACCCTGAGATCAAGAGTCACATGCTCCACTGACTGAGCCAGCCAGGCAGTTTTTAAAATAATGAGTTAGGGGGCACCGGGCTGGTAATGCCAGATATTAGCTGCCTCCCAATAAAATACACAATAGTCACTCCAAAAAAGAAAAAAGAATAAGGAAAGAAATCTGATCAAACCTCTTAATCTAACTTCCAATATAAAAGGAAAAAAAAGATAGAAAAGTATGTTCAGTGATGGCTAAAGGATACCATCAGCAAAGTCCTGATTGTAGAAACTTCACAGGTATGAAATGAAATGAACTAAACACTTCAATCAGAAGGCAGAGATGGTCAGATTGCAGCACACAGAGGTGGTTATCGCTCTTTTTAATCAGTCTTCTCTCTCTAGTTCTTACCATAGACACTTTAAAAATAAAGATACAAATAGTGAGAGGATAGGAAAAGACATACCATATGAACAGTAAGCATAAGCAAGCTGGGTCATAAGAAAACAGGCAAAATGCACTTCGAAGCAAGGAGTAGTAATGGAGATAAAGCAGGAAACTTCATCATGATAACATGGCTGATATCTGAGAAAGAAACATTAAAAATGTCTATGGGCCTAAGAAAACGGCTTTAAAGGACAAAATGCAAAAAACTGACAGAAATAAAGGAAGACACCTACAGTCACAGAGATTTTAACACATCTCACTCAGCAATTAAAAGAGCAACCGGACCCCCCCAAAAGAAAAAAGAAAAAAATCAGTAAGAATATAGAACTGAAGTGATGCTATCAACCAACCATAAAAATTTAGGAACAAAGAACCACAAGGATTCTAAAATAAGGAGAGAGGGAAGGGAGGGTGAGTGGGTTAGGCATTTATCTGCCTCCTCTTCTAAACTAGTTCTTTAAGTACTGTTCAAACATAGTGACTAAGCAAGCACATGTATGCCCCAGATCTGAAGAGAAAGACGATAACAGGAGAGGTGTTAAGTTTAAGGAAAGAAGGGTCCATCTTTTATTTATATAGTTTTCAAACCCAAATAAGCTTGCAAAGCCTTTTTTACATGCATGATGTCATTCCATTCTTACATATCCTTTGAAAAAAGCAGCCCACATTTCCTTATCCCCATTTTACAGGTAAGAAAGTCAAGCTCAGAGGCTGACAAGCCAAAAAAAAGGCAAGTTTGCTGCTAGATCAAAGGGTGGACGTATTCTAACGATGCCATGAGTGGCTCTACAGGAGTGCAGCGAGTTACCAACTATTTTCTTTCTTGTAAGTAAATTTTCTATAAGATGTCCAAATGCACAAAGAAATAATATAAAGGGTATTGGCTCCTCAGTTCAGAATTCAGCTAGTCTCCCCCTTACCCACAAGGAGTATGCTCAAGACAACCAACGGGTGCCTGAAACTGCATAGTACCGAGCTCTGTATATACTATGATTTTTCCTATACACACATACTTATGACAAAGTGTCATTTATAAATTAGGCACAATAAGAAATTAACAGTAACTAATAATAAATCAGAACAATTGTAACACTATACTGTAATCCAAGGTATGTGAATGTGGTGTCTCCCTCTCAAAATCTCTCCTTGCACAGTACTCACCCTTCCTGGGATGACGGGAGATGATCCAGTGCTGACACAGCAAGATGAAGTGACAGGAATGACACAGGCATTGTAATATAGCAAGAGGCTACAACTGACCTCCTGGTGATTCGTGAGGAGGAGCCCCGGCTTTCAGCTTCCAGACTGTGGTGACCGCGGATAACTGAAACCAGGGTAAGCAAAACTGCAGATAAGGGGGGACGACTGTATTTTCACACACTCCCTAAAATGATGTCGTCAGATACCAGGTTGGACCCAAGAGGACAGAGCTGTGAACGTTCACCCTGAGTCCAAACAGCATCAAGTGAACACTCCTTCATGGACTTGTTGGCAAACTCAGTAAGTGTTGACCACACTCCTGGTTACACATAAAAACTGATCAAGCTGTGGTTTAGAAACAATTTCAAAGTAAACAGTCTGCAGAAAATATGCAGATTTACTCTTCCAATTAGCAAAACACAGACTTTACAGATCATTTCATTACTGAAGGACAAATCTCAGAGTAGAATCATTTTGTTTCTTGGCTTGAACCAAAATATGTTTAAAAATAAATATACATTTAAAATATGTTCTAGACAAGGACTGGGTTATTTAAATATTATATATAAGCGGGCGCCTGGGTGGCTCAGTTGGTTAAGCGACTGCCTTCGGCTCAGGTCATGATCCTGGAGTCCCGGGATCGAGTCCCGCATCAGGCTCCCTGCTCAGCAGGGAGTCTGCTTCTCCCTCTGACCCTCCTCCCTCTCCTGCTCTCTGTCTCTCATTCTCTCGCTCTCTCAAATAAATAAAATCTTAAAAAAAAAATATTATATATAAGCTTTATTTACACTCTTCTTCCATGTTCCACTGAAGCATATTTCTTTTAGGTACATGGGAGACCACATCATTAAGGCTAATGGTGGTTTTATCTAGGAAAAAAAATAATCCATGAACACCAAGGAATATTTTTTAGCTTCTTGGCAAAACACAAAAGGGAAGAAAAATGATTTGACTTTTTAGTTCTAATTGTTTTCAATGTTTTATATAAGTTCAATGTTCAGATTTTTATAGAACCTGAGTGAATAAAATGCAGAAGTAAATCACTACTTTCTATTTAAAGCAAACTGGCTTTTTACATAGGTGACTTTTGTTTTAATAAAGAAAGAAAGAAAGAAAAGAAATAGAAAATAGGCCACTAGTTCCTCCCAGCACGTAGTCCTGCCTGAGGTGGGCAGGCCTCCGGGCACAGGCTGGGAGCGACTCTGCCCACGGCCAGCTCACCTGCTGGGGCAGCCCAGGAAAACCCTGGCTCTGTGCAATCATGAGAAACCAGACCAAGCATCCAGGCGTTGAAGGAACTATCAAATAGTAACAATGCAATGATTCTTTGTGGCTTATTTTTATTCTGAATCAATAACCTAGAAGTGAAGTTCACAGCCTATCAGGCCTTCACGGGTCCATCTACTTCCCCATGAACACCTACCGAAGGAAAAGGCAGCATGTGTTATGAGGGATCACTGCTTCTAAGAATAATCTGGAGGAGGCAGTCCTGAAACCCAAGTTCAGATGTGCTTAAATTAAGTACTGATCTGATTACTCAACTATGAAGAGGCCTTTTGAATGCACAATTGATTTTTAGCAAGTACAATGTATTGAGACCAACATTTTGATATTATAAAAGCAGGCTAAGTCACACAAATGTCTAAAAGTGGCTGAAAAATGAAGACTACATGCTTTTGCAGCCTAAGAATAAGCAGGGAGTGGAGCCAAACGTGAACATACCTCTCAGCAGAAAGGTGATAAACAGAAAGCCAAGTAGATAATATGCCAAAGAGTGAGGAAACCCCACATTATGGCTCATACTAACTTTCAAACAGAGTGAAAAATTCATACTTTATAACGGTAAACACAAATGCAGTTAGGTGTGTAGATCACCTACACCTACACCCAAAGAACCCATCCAAAATATCAATTTGTTGATGAGAATCATAAAACTAATTTCATGTTAATTTGCTAATTTATGAGATAAAAAACATACAGTCCTTGATTCTGAAAAGGACATTTAATATCTTATCCCATTTACTGGTCCTGGAAGGAGGGGAAAAGAGAAGGCATTTGGAATTGCATTAAAACAAAGTTTAGAACAATATAAAACAGGTGGAAAGAACAACCAAAGGCCAATAAATATTCAGTCTACATGAAACACAGGAAAATAGGAGAAAATACTGCAGGTACTCTGCTGTACCATGGAGAGACCCAGTAGGCATGATCACTTCCTAGATTACTCTTTGGATACTTAATTCAATTGGCCTTAATTGCTTATAAAGTGTGTGACACAATTAGGGAGGATTTGTCTTTAATTTAGCTCTGAAAGAAGCATGAATGGATGGAAACTCTAATCACAGACCACAGCAGATCATTAGAGCAATTAGGAACAAACTTTCCAGTCTTGCAAACCTTTCACACAAACCACCTGCTAGCCTTTGGAGCCAGGCTTCAGACTCGCAAAAACTTTGGGGTTCTTAAGGGCAAGTGAGAGCTCATTGAGGAAGGAAATAAAGTGGGAGTCTCTTTCAGATTTCTTTGATTCAAAAATGACAACAATGGTAAAATGAGGTTCCGGGCGGGTTAGGAAGTAGGTGCTCTGAACTTTGTCATCATAGAAGTGGACCACCTTTTCCAAGCTGTTCAGTTCGGACATGCGGTCTGTCATGATCATGATGACATTGGGCCAGTGCATGACGGGCCTGTCGCTGGGCAGAGACACCACGGCTGGATACTGGTCCACTCCCTTAGGGGCCTCTCTGTAGGAATGGGGGTGGTGATAGCCGTGACCCTGAAAGCTCTCAGAACCTCGGTTGTCAAAGATTAAGGACACATTGGCAGCATCATACTTCCTGATGAAGCTGGAAATCTTTCCAAAAAAGTCTGGGTTGGCTTTCGCAGTCAACGTTTTCATTTCTGAAGCAGTCGTTTGTCGGCTCAGTGCCTCGTGAAAGTAAAAGCTAAACTTGGCAAGAAGCATGTTTTTGAGTTTCATCAGCCAGAGGAAAAGGTGTGGGGGCTGAACGGCCTTCTGAGACTGCCCTCCAAACAGATGTTTCTTGGTCTCCCGCTGCTTTTCAAAGATCTGGCCCCAAGTCTGCAGCTTGGTGTGAGCACTGTGCAAGTTCACCAGAGACGGGAGGAACTTCCACTCTGAGACCTGAGCCTGGGCCTTCAGGAGATGACTCAGGACGTCCACTTCCAGCTGGAAACTGCTTTCCAAAGGGCTGAGGATGGGGTGGTGAAATCTAGAGGGGAAGGGAAATTAATAGAAATAAGTGGAAATGTTACTCCACGTGGACATTTCCTACCCTCAAAACAGCACACTGTGGCCAGACGAATAATATTACGTTGGGGGCAGGGAAAAGAAAGACTGAAGGGCTCCATGTCGATTCATTTATAAAGTTGTTCTGCGGCGTCTGGGTGGCTCAGTCAGTTAAGTGTCCGACTCTTGATCTCAGGTCAGCTCTTGATCTCAGGGTCATAAGCTCAAGCCTCATAGTAGGCCCCATGCCCAGTGTGGAGTATTAATTAATAAATTATTTATTTATTTAAAAAATATAATACACTTAAAAATAAATAAAAAGTTGTTCTGACATAACTTCACCATCTCAGAATTATATCAGCATCATATCCTCCTATGGAAACTGCCTGACGTTTAAACAAAAAATGAGAGTAGCGGCTAACTTCTTTTCAAATACAAAGAAATTAAATTAGCTGTACTTTTTTCCGAGCCTATTTTATTTATTTGGGGAATTGTATGACTAACATAATCAACCAAACAAGGCATCTTTTTTTCAAGATGTGCTTCTAAAGAGGCAGAGGTAAAAAAAAAAAAAAGTCACTAAAACATCTCTTAAATGTGTATGTAACACCCGTAAACTTATTTATTGTTCATAGTAACTCCACAAAGTATTATGGTAACTCCATAGTAACTCCATAAGGCAAGCCTTTATTCAATCCTAGCTCCCAAATTTTCTGCATATTTAATCGCAATTAAAAAACAAAATGGGAGCTAAATAACAAAAATCTAACATTTCAACATTTATGTTTTAAATTGGATTACTACTCACTAAATTAACTCTATGACTCATGGATTGCTACCTGCTATTTGTAAAACATTTTTTCTAATTCGCTGGTAGCAGTAATATTGGGTAGCAGGAGGGGAACGGATGTGGGAGTGCCTCCCTTCCAGGGAGAGGGGGGAAAAGACCAAGTGCAGAGACCCTGAGGCAAGCGAGAGCAAGTTCTTTCTGATGTTTCAAGTCTCCCCTTCAGAGTCATTTCCTTAGAGATGTCTTCTCTGTTTGCCTCCAGACTAAGTCAAGTGACCCCAATCGTATCCTCTAGTTTCTTAATACCTGTCTTCCACTTGAGTAGCTTCATCACATAATTTGTCCGACAAACTGGGACATATGGTCACCTTTGCTTTGAGCTCCTCCCTGAGGAAAAGTAAAAGCTGCCTATTCCCTTCGCTCCTTTATCTCTAGAACATATGGCACATACTAGAGATTCAGGAGAGATTCAGGAAACATGGCAACCAACTATGTTAAGATTTGAATCCTACTTTCTGCCTCATTGATTCTGTTGTTTGTGATCGAAATGAAATTCTGTAACAATGGCTAAGGAGAGTCCTCCCTGTCTCGACCACTTAGAGCTTTCTTGCCTAGGCTGCTGCTTCTTGTGAGAAATGCCCGGGGAGTTTGAGTGTCTGCCTGGCCTGTGCACCCTCCTTCTCAAGGAGCCAATACCAGGCCCTTATACTCTTCCCAAAGACCCGAAGCATCTGCAAGTGACCCTATTTTGAATATGTGGGCAAGATCTAGCATTTACTGATCATATCTTATGCCCCAGGCACCACAGGATTTGATTTACAGGTCTGAATCCATGTAAATTACTTGTTTCACTGTCAACAAGACAGAATCTTCTCATATGGCTGTTTTGGCCCCCGCTGAAGCGGAAAATGCTGGTTATCAATGAAAAAGTTAAGAAAAAAAACCATCACAAATATAGCTGGAGTTAAAAAATCCATTTAAACATTAATTAGAGGGATTATTAAACACTAATTAGAGAGCCCATACTAGGTTAGATATTATAAGATAGAAACTCATTATCATGTGATAAGGATATAGTTACTCACATGACCACACATTATTTTTTTTCTATTACCAGCATTTTACCTTCAATATCCTTCAAGAGAGGGAAGCTAAAACATGGGTGGAGGGTCTCAGTCTAATAATACATTCAAAGAATCAGAAAGATAGGGGTGCCCGGGTGGCTCAGTCAGTTAAGTGTCCACCTCTTGATTTCGGCTCAGGTCACGCTCTCAGGGTCGTGACATGGAGCCTCACATCAGACTTCGTGATCGGCAGGGAGTCTGCTTGAAGATTCTCTCCCTCTACACCTCCCTCTACTTGCTGTCTCTCGCACTGTCTCTCTAAAATAAATAAATAAATCTTAAAAAAAAGAATCAGAAAGATAAACTAGATTTCAAATCCTCTAGCTCATGCGCTTAATTAATTAATTTGGACTCTTTAGACATTACATGCTTTGAAATAAACATTAAGAAAGTCTAATACACATGCACACACACAACTTCACTATAGCATGGTTCACAATCTGTGAATTGTAAGAAATGCTCCTACCACCTTAGCCTTTAGGCTCTTTGACACTTAATGACCACAAAGCATCACAAGATTCTATAATGATGGGTATCAAGAAAATTTGCCAAGGAACTTGGAACACAGTAAGACTTTCAATAACAGGAAAACGGTATAAGGTTGAAGAAAATTCTACCACAAATAACAATACTCTAAGTTATTTTTCTGCTTCATTGGAAATCATCATTTATATCCAACATTCTCCTTGAAAGAACATGAATTCTCTGTACAAATCTTCAGAAAGAATTCTGAGCAAGCTCTTCCATAAACATATACTAAAAGTGTTTAAATGTTCAACATTTATTAGGATGAATGTGAATGTCGAAGCTATTTTTCATCCTTAAAAAGAGCTAAAAATTCATGTTAATGTTATTCTGCCAAGACTTTGCGATTAGCATTATGATGTATCATTTCCCCATTTCCATTCTGCTCTGTGCCTCATACCCATTTACAACTCACACTATAGGGGGATCTGTTAAATTGTTGTAATCCAAAAATACACACCTCAACTATGGCAGCAAGCTTGAAAGAGTCTGAATACAGAATAAATTGACAACTATTTGCAGAGAACATCTGCTCTAAAAAAAGCCAGAAGAAAGAGAGGGGGGTGGAGAGAGAGAGAGAGAGAACTCTCTCCTTCACAAATCCACATCAAGGAGTTCCTTCCAAAAGAAGTATCCAGGTCCCATTCATGTTAGAAGTCAGATTAAAACAATTAAAAACAAATCTGTAGCACAATGTGAATATACTAAATGCCACAGAATTATACTCTTAAAAATGGTAAATTTTACGTTATGTATACTTTACCATAATAAAAAAAACTATCGTCTCTTCTCATTTAAAATTTTTACTAGTTTTTAGGGGTGCCTGGGTGGCTCAGTCATTAAGCGTCTGCCTTCGGCTCAGGTCATGATCCCAGGGTCCTGGGATCGAGTCCCACATTGGGCTCCCTGCTTGGTGGGAAGCCTGCTTCTCCCTCTCCCACTCCCCCTGCTTATGTTCCTGCTCTCGCTATCTCTGTCTCTGTCAAATAAATAAAATCTTTTAAAAAATAAATAAATAAAATTTTTACTAGTTTTTAGATACAAATACATTGAAGATATAAAGATGCATTAGCCAAAGGTTTGCCTTATAGAGACTTCCCAAGGTAGGAGGTACTTATAATGGATACAAGTTGGAAGTAAACACATCTCTTATGAGAAGTACAAAATAAAATAAGATTTTAGAAAAGGAGCAATTTCTTTTGGTTGAAAGATTATGCAGGCCATAAGGGAGACAGAGTTTGAATTGAGCCATGCAACTTCAAGAGCAGCTAAGGTTCAGCTGTGTAAAGGTAAGGGCTTAAATTTCTGGCCCCATTCTTTTTTTTTTTTTTAAGATTTTATTTATTCATTTGAGACACAGAGATACAGAGAGAGAGAGCATGAACAGGGGGAGAGGCAGAGGGAGAAGCAGGCTCCCCTCTGAGCCAGGAGCCCCATATGGGGCTTGATCCCAGGACCCAGGGACCCTAACCTGAGCCGAAGGCAGCCACTTAACCAATTGACCCGCCCAGGCGCCCCCTAAGTTGAATAAATTTGAGAAATATGTACAGGAAAGACTTCCTGATCCTCCTCTGAAGCAGGTCATAAAACCTTCAAGTGAGACGTGCCTTTCCCCCTACTCTAAGGAAGGGAGCATCCTTATCTCCAAACACAAGGGACACAGAGAGGAATCTGAAAGAACAGGCCTTTTGCTTCCCTGAGCTTTAGCTCAGACCCTTTTTCATCCTAGCACATTTTCCCACAACTCTTACATCTTCAAATGGACTCAGCTGAATTTTGTTTTTTAACAAAATCTACCATAAAAACACAGATTTAACAGCTTCTTTATTTTATGAAGGCTCCCCTGACATGTAAAACTTACATTAAATACACTGGTATGTTTTTCTCTTGGTAATTTGTCTTTTGTTAAAGGGCCCCCCGTTGAGAATTTAGAAGGGTAGAAGAAAAGGTATTTTTCCTCCCCTCCGAGTTTAAGGACATTCTAGGCAAAACAAATAATGAACCAAAGTAGGAAATGGCAAATACTTATGGGGAACACATTAGATTATGGATTGTTTTTTGGTATCTGCTTAAAATCCTCAAAATTTTCTCTTTGAAGCTTCTTCCTTTTTACAAAGAGTTTGGGTACAATTTAAAGCATTTGATGGGCCTTAGATAAATTTGCAAAGATAGGTTGGGGCAAGATCACAGAAGGCCTTCAGCCCTCACTGTTAAGATTGAGATAAGCTGAATGCTAGAGTAGACTGTGTCCCATAGAAATGACACTATTGTTGGTTTTGCTTATGAAATTTTCAATGGGCGAAAATTCACCTTGTTGAACTATACACACACAACTAACTGTTAATTTCACTTATCATCACAAATCTTTTCTTGAAGGAAAAAGGGCACAAGGCCTAAAAAAAAAACAGAAATCTCTGTATCTCTGTGTCTCAAATGAATAAATAAAATCTTAAAAAAAAAAAAAAAAAAAGAATGGGGCCAGAAATTTAAGCCCTTCATGAGAACCCTGTCATCTGAAGCATTCAGATCAAAAAACTGTGATCCCTAAAATGCAAACAGAAACTTCACTGTAACTCAATTTTTAAAAATGTCCTTTGGGGTGCCTGGCTGGCTCAGTCGGTGGAGAGTGCGACTCTTGGTCTCAGAGCTGTAAGTTTGAGCCTCACGTTGGGTGTAGAGATTACTTCAAAGTAAAATCTTTAAAAAAAACAGAAAAGTTCTTTAAAATCTATCTGTAAAATCATGGTTAAAGGATATGTCACTTAATGGTATATTATTGCCCATGAGAGGAATTTTTTTTTTTTTTTTCAAAGACCCTATTTATTTATTTGAGAGAGAGAGAATGAGAGACAGAGAGCATGAGAGGGAGGAAGGCCAGAGGGAGAAGCAGACTCCCCGCCGAGCGGGGAGCCCGATGCGGGACTCGATCCCGGGACTCCAGGATCATGACCTGAGCCGAAGGCAGTCGCCCAACCAACTGAGCCACCCAGGCGCCCGAGAGGAATTTTTTTTAAAGATTTATTTATTTATTTGAGAGAGAGAGAGAGCGCGTACGCATGTGCCCCCACACAGCAGGGAGGGGCAGAGGGAGAGGAAGAGTCGTAAGCAGACTCATGCTGAGCGCAGAGCCTGATGTGGGCAGGGTCAATCTTAGAACCCGGTTGTGAGATCACAACCTGAGCTGAAACCAAGGGTCCTATGCTTAACTGACTGAGCCACCCTGGCACCCCCAACAGAGGGATTTTTAAAAGCTGTCTGGAACAAATAAATACTTGCTCTGTTCTTTAAAAGAATTACTTCTTAAAATTATACTCTTGACTTAGGAGATTAAATATTTTGCATTTATAACCCATCTTCCAGCTTTAACTATGAAATAGAAAAATTAACCAGAATCTTTTTTTTTTTTAAAGATTTTTTTTTTTAATTTATTTATTTGACAGAGAGAGAGATAGCGAGAGAGGGAACACAAGCAGGGCGAGTGGGAGAGGGAGAAGCAGGCCTCCCGCAGAGCAGGGAGCCCGATGCAGGGCTTGATCCCAGGACCCTGGGATCATGACCTGAGCCGAAGGCAGACACTTAACGACTGAGCCACCCAGGCGCCCCCAGAATCTTCTTTTATGCCCACTGTACAAAAGAGGTATGTAAATTCAAAATGAATTCTACAGAATCAAAAAATGTTCCATTGATGCTTCCTTGGGGAAAAAAACAAAACAAAACCCAAGTTCTACGTCTCCTCAAAAGTATTCAAGGAATAGTAGACATCCTGATCCTGTATGAGCTAAATTCACATTCTTCCTTCTAAGGGCACACAATAAAAACTTGTATGATTAATGTTAATTATTCAATTTGAAATGCAGCATCACAATGACTGTGGTTTGTAAGCAATAATTTACATTTGCTTAATAATGTAATCAGTTTGCCAAAAGAGGAAACCTTTAATACTGTTCTACTCTGAACACAACTGGCTTCCAAAGGACAAAAACAAAACATGCTTCCCATGAAAGCAGACTGGGCCTTACAATAACTCACATAGAATCTGCATCTCACATCAGGGCCACAGGTCTAGACTCCACGTTATACATCACGCTTGTTAATTTTTTAATACAAAAGCATTTCATCGTTTGAAAGATGAAAGATTCACACAATATTTTAGAAGCATTCTGACATGGATCGGATATACTGGGGCAAATAAATATTTCCTGAAAGATCAACTGGGTCCTTTGGGAAAAGGATTAACTCTTTCAATACAATAGAATACAAAATATGAATTACTTCTCTAAACACTGGAACCATGAAAGAAATGTTTGATATAGCACAGATGCCAAATCAAAAGGAAGAAGAAGAAGAGGAAGAAGAGGAAAAGAGGAAGAAGGAGAAGAAGAGGAAGAGGAAGAAGAGGAGGAGGAGGAGGAAGAAGAGGAGGAGAAAGGTCTACAGAAAAAAGGATATTATCCTGGCAAAAGGCAAAGTATGTTAATTTATACCTAAAATAATTCCACTTTCCCCCCAAAATCAACACATTATACAGAATTTCAACTTTTCAGAATTTGTTAACTAAGGAATTTATGTTCAAATTAACCCAAAGTTTCTAATTAAGATAATTTTTAGGGTTGGATGTATCTATAATCAGTAATTCCCTATTAATTAGATAAAGGCAGCATGGGTGGAAAATAGAGACAGATGAAAACACCTTGACCTTGGGTGATACTGCCCCCCTGGCTCCATCAGATTCCATCAGTGTCCACTCAGTACCTGGTACAGCCAAGTACCCTAAAAGCTTCAAGAATGAAAGCTGGGCTTTTGCAGGAAATGAAAGAAATCCTCAAAGGTCTGGGAAGTGGGATGTTTCAAAGAAGGTGCAAAAAGGATAGATCACAAATCTAATCAAATAAAAATGAAAATAGTTAAATAGTAATAATCATTCCTACGAGACATACACACGCACATGCATACACACACCGTTTAAGGTTCAATACCTAGTCTTTCCCAGTGTTGGCACCTTTCTCTTATTTATCCAAACAATTTTTTCACGGAGACTATTTTCAATATCACAGGGAACTTTTAAAACATACAGGTTTCTGGGCACCCAATTGAGAATCACTAAATCTTACCCTCTCGGGGAAGAAGGGCAGGGCAGGACAGGGGCAGGGGGCAAGTATGGTTCTTTCTTTTAAGCTTCCCAAATGGTTCAGCAAACCACTTTCACGTTAGCGCTTGGGAATCACCACATGAGATCTCTTCCCTTTGAGAGTCGTATCTCCAACTGTATTTTTGCTTTGGGATTTCAAAAAATTATTTTATTTAAAAAAATGAGGAAGAAATAAAATAGTTCCAAACAGAAAATTTGTTAACATGTAAAATTTGTTTAAAATGTGTATGTACAGACTATCTCTCAAGAATGATAGGAAGAACTTGCTAACAACATTCATTGCCTCTTAGGAAAGGAATTAAGTAGATAAAGAACGGGCACTTTTCACTATGTATTCTTTCATACTTTATAAATTTTGAGCCATATTAATGTATTACCTACTAAAATAGACAAAACAAAAATTTAGAATATATCATAAAAACAGAAAATACATGACAATAAAAAATAACACAGAGGACATTTTGGAGACAACTGGGGAAATCTGAATACGGACTACTTACTGCTGATGATAGAAAAAAATCAGTGCTAAATTTCCTGAGTGAGAAAACTATGCTACAGTTTTGTATAGTTCTTAGAAGATACAATCTGAGTATTTGAGGGTAGACTGTCATGATGTTTGCATCTGATGTCCAAACAATGCAAGGAGGGGGGGATAAAATTGTATACAGAGAGAGATAAAGCAAACATGACAACATTTTAATAATATGAGTCCAGGGGAAGGATGTTTGTGTGTTCATTGCACAGCTTTATTTCTTTTTTTTAATAATAGCTTTACTACTTAAATCATATACATAAAGTATACTTTTTTAAGGTATAGAATGCAATGGTTTTAGTATAGTCAGAGTTGTGCAACCATCACCACGATCTAATTTTAGAACAGTCTCATGACCCCCCAAAAAGGAACCCCGTATCCATTAGCAGTCACTCCCCATTCTCACCTTCCCCCCTAGACCCTGACAATCATTTTCTGTGTCTGTAATTTGTAATCTATGTTCTGTGTTTATGACTTTGCCTATTCTGGACATTTCCTATAACTGGAATGATAACTATATGTGATCTTTTGTGACTGGTTTCTTTCACACAGCATAATTATTCAAGGTTCATGCATGTTGTAGCATGTATCAATACTTCATTCCTTTCTAAAGCTGAACAATAACACGCAATGCTTCTCAAATTCCTTTCATATTGTTTTTTGGCTCAGGAAGCGAGCAATACATTATAGCCAGGCTCATTTTTTTTCCAAGTAAAAGGAGCAATTTCCTTCAAATACAAGTTTTCCAGCTGATCAACATCTTTTTTTTTTTTAATTAAATTGGCTACAAATAGCCTTTTGACTATTAAAAAAATTTAAGTATGCCCTCCTCAAAAGCACAGATGCCTGTCTCCACTAAGAAAGTTTAAAACAGGGTGCCTGGGTGGCTCAGATGGTTAAGCGTCTGCCTTCGGCCCAGGTCACGATCCCGGAGTCCTGGGATCGAGTCCCGCATCGGGCTCCCTGCTCGGCGGGGAGCCTGCTTCTCCCTCTGCCTCTCTCTCTCTGTCTCTTATGAATAAATAAAATCTTTAAAAAAAAAAAAAAAAAAAAGAAAGTTTAAAACAAACGCAGAACTATGCCACAGGCCCCGAAAGTGATTATGAAGAAGTTTCCAACACATGATAAGTAATGGTTACATCTGAGGACTAAGTGGGTAACTCACCAAGGTGATTACTTTGAAAGGGACGTTTATTTGAATAATGGTTTGTAAAAATATATATATATATATATATATATTTTTTTTTTACATACAATTCTCCCCTTGTGTGAACTCTTTCAGAAGCAGCAAAATCAGTTATAATACATCGTTTAAGGATACTTCATTGGTCTCTGGCTGTTGCTTGGAGAAGTGTCCACCCAGCGTGGTGTTAATGAGGCCCCGAGAAGGTACCTCATGTGTACCTGCTGCTTAATTAATACGTACAAAATGTAGAGTGACGATTTCTCCCCTTCGCAGGCACGTCATCCTAGATTTTCTTCATAAGCGTGCGGGAGGGAGCCCGTGTGCGTGGGAGTGAGAGGCTGCAGTGTGTGTCCCTCCCGCCCTCCTCACCTACACTCACCTGGAGCTGTATTTCTTGAGGATGGTGTCCAAAAGGCCAACGAGCTCCTCAGCGTTGATGAACTTCTGCGGGCTGAGGGCGTACATCTTCTCGTAGAAGTCTGCGATCTCCATGCGGGCCTGAACGAAGAAGCAGAGCTGCTCTGACAGGTGGGAAAGCAGTTCCTCCACGTGCGGGGCGGTCCCGCCCAGGGCGCCGCGGCCAGTCACCACCTTCTTCAGCTCGTTGTGCAGGGACGTATAGATGGTTCGGATGGAATCCTTCCTGCTGAAGAAGGACTGGCCCCCTGGGAGGCAAATGACATTAGCACGTGACAAGTAAGGGAGAGAAACCAGAAAGACAAAACACCTCCCAGCCTCCGAAAGGAAAGGAGTGGAGCCTGCCGAGCTCAGGGCGTTATCATCACCTACCATATTCTCTGACTCCTACGATTGGAATTTAAATATTTTGTGATTCATAATTTCACTGAGGAATAAGAAATGAATTCCTGGTGCAACTCATTAGTGCAGCAGCAGACCTCTGTACGATTTCCTTAGCCAGGCATCGATTCTCCCCTACCCCATTTCAATGAGGATTCGCATTTCTTTCAGAGGATAATTGACCTAGATGGTGATATCAGCCTGGATCTAAATAGCCCTTCTTCCCCATACATATATTTAAAACAAAAGAGAATACCCAATTGGAAAACACTGTTGTTATTCCTGATAAATCAGAAAATTTTATTTCTGCATTAGAGTTGCATTTTCCTTTGAATCTTATCTTTTAAGCCATACCAGAAAATGGAAAATACACATATATATATATCTCCCTTACACAAGAACACAGACTACTGGGATCCCAGGGGAAAAAAGGAAATCTGTAGGGGCGCCTGGGTGGCTCAGTCGTTAAGCGTCTGCCTTCGGCCCAGGTCATGAGCCCCGCAACAGGCTCCCTGCTCAGCCGGGAGCCTGCTTCTCCCTCTCCCGCTCCCGCTCCCCCTGCTTGTGTTCCCTCCCTCGCTGTCTCTCTCTGTGTCAAATAAATAAAGTCTTAAAAAAAAAAAAAGGAAATCTGTAGTACTTTTTTTTTTAAAAGTAAGCTCTACGCCCAACATGGGGCTTGAACTCACGACCCTGAGATCAAGAGTCGCACGCTCCTCCAAATGAGCCAGTCAGGCACCCAGAAATCTTTAGTACTCTTGACAAGGTTGACACTATAGGTTATAACAAAATAAGCACCACGCTGTGAATGAGTAAGAGCAGGAAGCAATTATAAATAACTGTTGCTGTAACACAGGGGTTCCAAAGGAAATCAGCAAAAAAAAAAAAAAAAAAAAAAGACCAGGGCGCCTGGCTGGCTCCGTGGGTAGAGCATGTGACTCTTGATCTCAGGTTCATGAGTTCAAAACCATGTTGGGGAGGGACCCTACTTAAAAAAAAAAAAAAAGACCAAATACATCCCTTTCAACAGTTAAAAAGGATCAAGTGGCATAGACATCATTTCCTTACTCTGTATTAATATATGATCAACTCTATTTCTAATAATTATAGAGGCAGCTTCGTAGATGTTTTCTTAAGCAATTCTGCACCCCACTAAATAAAGGGTCACAGGCAAGACATTAGGAGAATGAGAAGAAACAGGGCAGGTTTAAAACAGTAATTCTTAGAAATAAATAAAAACCTCAGAGGTGGATGACAGTTTAAATTTTCTGTTGATATACACAGAATGCTTTCATGAATAAACTTATTACTATTCTAAACACATCAATTGGGAGTGAAAATTATTTATCAAGGCATTTGTAAAATATCCTTTTAAGAAATGAATCTTAGGGCGCCTGGGTGGCTCAGTTGGTTAAGCGACTGCCTTCGGCTCAGGTCATGATCCTGGAGTCCCGGGATCGAGTCCCACATCAGGCTCCCTGCTCAGCGGGGGGTCTGCTTCCCCTTCTGCCCTCTTCCCTCTCGTGCTCTCTGTCTCTCATTCTCTCTCTCTCTCAAATAAATAAATAAAATCTTTAAAAAAAAAAAAAAAAGAAATGAATCTTAGATCCTTTCCTACTACTGTGACCACCTTGTCCCAGTCTACCCAGGACTTTCTAGGTTTTGGCACCGAAAGCCTGGCTTCTTGGAAAACTAGACTTAGTCCCACGTCCTGGGAACCCCCCTGGCCCTGGGCAAACCTAGAAGATTGGTCACCCTACTTACTCCACAAACTATCATTACTTAAAAATGTTTTCTTCAATATAATGCCTAAACAAAGTAACTAGCATTCAAATCATTTCTCCTACTAATAGCAGCGAAAACCATGTGGTGCAGTTGGATTGACCCCAGCATTCACATCCCACCCAGGATTGTACCCTGAAGGGTTTGCCCTCCCTTCCCTGCCTATCTTCAGTCTAACCTTGCAGATTTTGTGAAGTAACAGTATGGAATAAATAGATCTCTGTGTCCACGTTTAGGGAAAAAAATCTCTTAGGTTAGGTAGGTAACAAGAGTCCCATGCAAAATCTATGGGGCGCCTGGTTGGCTCAGTCAGTGGAGGGTGCGACTCTTGATCTCGGGGTTGTGAGTTCAAGCCCCACACTGCGTGTACGTATTACTTAAAAATAAAACCCTAAAAAAAAAACCCTAAAAGCTCTGGAAGTCTGACCGACTTAGTTCCAAATTCCAGCTTCTGAACTTACAAGCTGTGTGGTGTGCCAATGACGTAGCCACTTTGAGCCTTAGTTGTTGTTTTTAACATGAAACTAGTAATAGAGCTAAGAAGGCAAAATGAAATACCATTTTGTATGTAATGTGCCTGGAGCAAAGTGCATATTCCACAACACTAATCCCTTTCCCTTCCATTTATAACTGATGTAAGAAAATTCTAAATACTACCTAATTGGACTTCTAAAACCCTATGGTAAATTGGGAGCTTCATGTACTATAAAAAAGAATAACTACCTATTTGACAGATAGCTAGGTGACCTCAACTGTGTACTCACTGCTGCTATTAACAGGGTGGCCTTGGTGACAATTTTAAATCTGGGTGAAAAAGGAATACCTTTCTTCATCAGATTACCCTTATCTAAGGGAGTGGAAACACCACATAAATACAAAGAATACCCTGAAAAGCTTATCAATAAACATCAATCACTAGTATGTTTAGTGACACTAACATACTAGTCAAGTGACACTAGAAGGAAGGGAGAGACCACTAATGCATTTCTTTTAAACAGGTCTCTTTTCTCAAAGCTCTCAGGAGCACAATCCTACTTGTTGACTACCCTGGTAAGGAATATCCAGTGGGGACTGGCCTTCCTTCTTACTGGGAAACAAAGAAGCAGAGACACCAGACATCTTCCTCTTTACAAGTTTTTGGATTTACAAAATATGATTATTTTGAATTATTTCCAGAAGTTTCTGTGTATTGAATCCTCATTATTTCTCAAGATTTCAACAGTCCATCTCACATGATAAAATTTCAAGTAATAAGTATATTAAAGGAATATGAAAGATGTCTGAGTATTTTATTCGACAACTTCTTGTTAATGATAATTTATAAACATTGGTTCTCAAGTTAAGTCATTTTCTACCATGCTAAATTCTAGCAACCAGAGGTTGCGGAAACTCTCCAGTGATGAAACAAAAGGGAGAAAGTATGACCTAAAATCCTCCAAAGGCATTGAGATGGCATATTTTTATCACTGGTCCTTCCCCAAACAGGTATATTCTCCCCTGAGAGGAAAAGAGAAAGCTCCAAGGTAAGGGGCCCACCCAAAGTTTTTCAGAACTGAGCCAATACAGGAACAGAAGTCTCCCTGTCAGGTCTGTCCTTTGCCTACAGTGTTTGCCCACACGTGCATCTATAATCAGGATTCACTGCCAAGGTCTCTGATAAAACACCAGTCACAAGAGTGAGGTCAAAAAGACTCACTTTTTTGGACCATGTTTTAAATGTTTAAAAATACACATAAAACTTTTTGTTTTGCTTTTAAAAAAAATACATTCTAATTAGCAAAGTATTTGAAGAACATGGGAATGTCTTAAGTGGCAACACAAAAATTTTTCCACAAGGTTTTAAGAAAAAAAATCACAAAGTCATAAGCATGTTGATATCACAAACATTCCAGTATCAAAAAACTGTAGGATGCAAAGTTAAAATTTAAAATCTGGGGGCGCCTGGGTGGCTCAGTCGTTGAGCGTCTGCCTTCGGCTCGGGTCAGGTCCCAGGGTCCTGGGATCGAGTCCCGCATTGGGCTCCCTGCTCCGTGGGAAGCCTGCTTCTCCCTCTCCCTCTGGCCCTCCCCCTGCTTGTGTTCCCTCTCTCACTGTGCCTCTCTATGTCAAATAAATAAATAAAAATCTTAAAAAAAAAAAAAATTTAACTCTGGAAACTATGGGGTGCCTGGGTGGCTCAGATGGTTGGGCGTCTGCCTTCAGCTCAGGTCATGATCCCTGGGTCCTGGGATCGAGCCCCACGTCTGGGTCCTGGGTCGGCGGGGAGCCTGCTTCTCCCTCTCCCTCTGCCTCTCCCCCTGCTCATGCTCTCTCTGTGTGTCTCGAATGATAAATAAAATCTTTAAAAAAAATTAAAGTAAAATAAAATCTGGAACCTACATTTACTATACATGTGAATAAGTTAATGAGGCATTAAAGTTAAACATGCCAATTCTCAGAACATTCACTCAGAAGTCACAGATCACCTGGGAGCCTGAACCATGCCTGGGCATGTTTCATAGTGTAAACTGCTCCTGGATCAATTTCAAGGTGCAGCCTTCAGGCTCATCCATGCAAGCTGGGGGTCCATGCAGAACTAATCACTTTACATAATAAGGGCCATTGCACAGAACCCAAGGCAGAGACAGTGATGATCTCACACGTGCTCTTACACACAGGGCAGCCAGTTCTGTTTACCTAAAACCAGACACATACAACTTAAACTAGAGTAACAGATTTTTAAACTGGGGTCCATCAGTAGCCTTTAGGAAATCCAACTGAAGCGCCTCCAATTAAATGCAAAATTGTATTACACATATATTTTCCATATAAGTCCATGGGTTTCATCAAATTCTCATAGATGAGCTTAAAGAAATTAAGAATCATGGCACTGGGATCAATCACCATTCTTCATGAGGTGGGGGAATCTAGAAACAACTAAAACTGCCAGAAAATTACCCACTTTCATTTTATAGCCAGAATCCTCCCCATTTCCAAATACAGCTGGCCCCTGAATAATGCCAGGGGGTGGTGGAAGGGGTGTTGGGGAGCTGACCTCCCCCAACAGTCAAAAATCCGAATATAACTTTTGACTCGCCCAAGACTTAATCACTAATAGCCTATTGTCGACTGGAGGCCTTACTGATAACATAAACAGTAGATTAACATGTATGCTATATGTTATGTGTATTATATATTGTATTCTTATATAGTAAAGTAAGCTAGAGAAAAGAAAATGTTAAGATAATCATGAAGGATGAGAAAATACATTTACTGTACTGTATTTATCGGAAAAAATACATCTATTAGGGGACCCATGCAGTTCAAACCCCTATTGTTCAAGGGTCACCTGTATATACGAAGTATTTTTAAATTATAATACATACACCAATTTTTTTTTTTATAAATCATCTGGATAAAAACACAATCTGACAGTTCAAAGCCAGGTATTCTGGTTTGAGACCTCTCACCTACCCATAAAAATGCACATAGACAATTTGCCAATCTATAGAAAGGGAAATAATAACACTGCCACAGCACTTGCAAATTTGTGAGAAGTGCCACTGTAAAAAAGGGTGGAAAAAATACACAAGGTGATTCTATCTGAGCAATTTTGCCAGTAAGTCAACGTACTAAACAACAAGTTATTATTTGAACAGCTAAGGCAAAAGTTAAGATCTTGGAAAGCCCTGCCCTTTGGGCGTTTACTGAAGGCAGTATGTACATGGCCACCTTCAGGCAACATAAAGAAACTGGGGGCTAAAAATCAAAATGGAATCTGCACTCAATTTTACCTTTCTATTCTTTATTGCATGTATGTGTTCTTCATTCATACCAGACCCTGTGCTTCTGATAATTAAAGGGTCTAAAAATAGGCCAAAATACTAACTTCGAAAGCTCTGGGATTCATATTGATTGTTGGTAATTATAAGTAGTAATACTTTATATGCATAGCCCTTGGCTTTGACATATTTTATTTCCTTCTGATCTACTCATTAATTGTTTCTACTAGTGAAAATCGGTTGAATCAGCTCTTGCATCTTATTTTCAGGGGCAAGATTTAAGATGGAATGATAAGAGTGTTTACCATTTTCCCCTTAAGTCCCCTCTTGCTAGTGTTAGGCATATTTCTTGCCTTTCCTGTCCAGTATTCATTTATTTCCTCATCCATTAAATATTTATTGACGGCCTAAGAAGGGGTAGGACTCCATCTGTAACTCGCAGGGGCCTTAACTTCAAAAGCCAGACAAAAGTGTTCATTAATTCTAACTAGGTTGTATTGCCAAGTTTTGCTCCTCTGGCCACAGTGTCATTTGTCAGAAAAGCGAAGACATACAGTTTGCTTAACTTTTCATTTATGGCACCAATCCATGCACTGAGCAAAATGGATACACCCATCGGTTTGAGACACAGCCCTAAAAAGAGCATCCACCCCGGCGGCCAATCTATCAACAGCACAGGCCGGTGGGCGGGGCTTGTGGAAGCCGAGGGGAGGAAGGGAACGGTGGGAGGAGATCTGGGAGTGCCAAGTTGAGCCTGAGGGTAGGAGTGAGACAGGGAACCCAAGCCACTGCCGATCGGGGAATACACCCCCTTTCCTTCCTCCTCAAAGGGCACGGGGGGCGGGGCGGAGGTACCTAGTTTTTGCCCCAGGTAGGTGAGGCTGTGATAGACCTTCTCGGCCGCGGCCAGGTGGGCCAAGGCCGCCAGCAGCGACAGCCAGTTGCCCCCCGCGCTCTTGTTGGCCTCTCGTTCCTTGTCCACATTGTCCTTGGCCTTGTCGTAAGAGAAGATACCCAGGTGAGAGAAGAACGTCTCCAGCACCGCCTGTTCCACCGGAACCGGGGCGGCCAGCGGGATAGACTCCCCCATGCGAGCTGCGATCCAGCTCCACCCACGTGGCTCTCCCTCGCAGTTCCGGGTTCTCAGGGAACGTGCGCACCAGCGTGCGTGCGCGTGACCGCCGCAAGCGACGGGCTCGTGAGCGCGCTGCTGTCTGGACCTCGCCTGGGCCTTAGAGGACACCGGTAAGGGCCAAGGAAGGAGGGAAGTGGCCCGTCTTCAGCTCCTGAGCAGCTTCGGCTCTTCCGTTCCCGCAGCGCTGACTATTCGGACCTTTGGGGCAGAACGCAAGACGGTCAACCCGCTGCTCCGCAGACCTGACTGCGCTCTGAGGTGAGCTGAGAGGCCCCTCCCTGTGAGACTGCGTCAGTGCTGGTGACGTCACGCTCACATGACGTCAGTAGTTCTTGCTCTGACATCTAGCCTGGGCTGGCCTATGCTTGCCTTGGGCTTACCTTGGGCCTGCCGGGCGCTGAGCGGTGAGGCTAGTGGCTGGAACTGTGTTCTCTCACGAGGACTCAGTTCTCACAGCTTTTAAACTACTGCCAAGTAAGTAGATTATAGTACCTGATACTGGTAAAGGTTTATATCTTATCCCCATGTCTGATTTTCACCCAATCACGCACTTTGCATCTATTCGCACCTGTATCCTGTGCAAGGCATCTCAGATTCGCGCTAAGGAAACAGCTTCCAAGCAGAGCTCGTCAGCTTGCCCATACTACCCAAACTACTTTAGGCTTCCTTAAAAAGTTCTCCGAAGAAGGATAAATTAATGTAACTCCGGTTAAAGGTTCTGAATTGATGCACTCTGTCATTCAAATTAATTACAAATTCCTTTCACATTTAAGAAGCACCACCATAAACCCAGCTCATAGGTATGCCCACTATGAGACTCTGCCCACTACTTGCTCAGTTAGTTTTTTTCCTTTCTCCTTCCTTGCGCATGATTATTTTACTCTAGTCATACTATTTAATCACGTATGTTCACATGTCTCTTTGCCCTAAGTGGCGAACTCCCTAAGGCAGAATCTAGGGTTCACTCACCTTTATAATCTTTTCATAATGGATAGCACAACGATATTTGTTGAAATGAAGGAACTGTTTTCATTTTTTTGTCAAACCAGACCTGTTTGGCCGTCACTACCTTTTAATGCAAATCCTGTAATCTAATTTTAATGAATATATAGTACATCTGTTCCCTGCTCTCAAAAGTATAATTGGATAAAATCAACCCTGTTAACTGTGATACAAAGGAGAATTTTATATGTTATGAAGGTGAAAAGGGAGGCAGCATTCATATCTTTTTGGAAGAATCAGGGAGGCTTCCAGGAGGAGAATGTGATGGTTTTTAATGAATGAGTAGAAGTTAGTAATCAAAAAAAAAAAGGTAGTACAGGGGCACGTGGGTGGCTTAGTCCCGGTTAAGCCATTCTTGGTTTCAGCTCAGGTCATGATCTCAGGGTTGTGAGATCAAGCCCCACAGTGGGCTCTGCGCTCAGCAGGGTGTCTGCTGGAGATTCTCTCTCCCTTTGCCCCCTCCCCGCTTGCTCATAAATAAATAAATCTAAAAAAAAAAAAAAGCATAGTACTAACATTAAACCAACAGGCAATGAAAAAGGGTTATAAAGCTCATAAACATACCCAAGTAATGTAAGAATTACTAAGATAATAAAGGTGGCATCATAAATCAATGGGGAAAGAAAAACTTAATAGTGAAGGAGACATGATTATGGGGGGAAAAAAACTCCTATGTCCTGCCACAAAAAATAACTACATGGGTAAAAAACAAAACCTTAAACAAACTAGGAAAACAAATGCAAGTGAAAATTTAATTGATCTAGGGATAGGAAAGAGCCTTTTAATTATAAAAGAGTTGGAAGAAATTACAAAGGAAGAGATTGACTTGACTATAAAAATGTCAGAAAAACACAATGCCAACATTGTAACATATGTCAGACAGAACTTTAATGTGCTTAACATTTTAAGATCTAGTAATCATAGAAATGCAGATTAAACTTCTATTTTTCACCTATCAGGTTTTTTTGAAAATTTTAAGTGCTGGTAGGTAAACATTTGCAGTGAGTTTGTTCTTAAACATTGCAGATGGAGTGTAACTTGGTATGACCTTTCTGGAAAACATTTGGCAATGTACGTTAAGGTTAAATGAGAGTATATATGTACAGTGTTTAGAACATTAAGACAAGTACATGTTTAGTAAGTATTAGTAGTGTCTATCATTATTTTTACTATTTTTTTTATTATCAATAGCATTATCATACCTTTTAATCAGCAGAGCGCCTAGAATAATACCTCGAACTTAGTGGATGTTCATTAAATAGTTGATTGGCTAATTCTCCTTGTCATGTAAGAATTTTATAGGAAAAGCCCCTCCCCCTGCCCCTGCCCCTCCCCCTGCTCACATGCACACCCTCTCACTCTCTCTCTAAAATAAATAAATAAAATCTGACGCACCTGGGTGGCACAGTCAGTTAAGCATCCAACTCGGTTTTGGCTCAGGTCGTGATCTTAGGATCATGGAATCTGAACCCTGCAAGGGACTCTGCTCAGTGCAAAGTCAGCTTGAGACTCTCTCTCCCCCCCCCTAAATAAATAAGTAAAATCTTTTAAAAAATAAAAGAAAATTTTTTAAAGAATTTTATAGGAAAAGATACAGAGTTAATGACATGTCAGCCTGTTAAAACATTAAAGTTATAGGGGCACCTGGGTGGCTCAGTCGTTAAGCATCTGCCTTCGGCTCAGGTCATGATCCCGGAGTCCTGGGATCGAG